AAAAAAAAAAAAAAGTGTATGTAGTCTATTTAGCCATAAAAACTCCTTTTAATTTGCTAAGTAAAAGAGACCATTTTTAGGTTTTATAAAGAGTTACATATAACATATAATCAATTAAATATATCTACAATGAGTGAAATATACGAATAATCAATAAATGCTTTGCTTAATATAGTCGAATCTATATTTACTAATGTTTCTTTTATTGTATTGTAATTACTAAGCCTTTGCCTATCACTCAAAAAAGATCATATGCTCTCCCCTTAGTGTCCACTCTCTGTTGTAATCAGCTACTTTGTTAGAACTACGATCTTTTAATTATGTTGACTAAGTATTCCTTTTGGTAAACATATAGACATGCAGCCACAATATAGTTATGTATTTATACAGTCTTACTCATGATATATGTTATTTAACAAAACAGAAATCTATATGTGTGAAATAAAAAATAAAAGTAGAAAAATTATATTTTCTTCCTGTAGCTCAACAGGTGACTTTACTTACTTTAATATGAAGCCCACTGGGATAAGGCACCTGAAATTTAGGGCTAAATTCAATCAATTCAATCTTTAGATGAGCCAGTTAGCTTTGTCTAGTTCTGTGACTATAATCCTAATCTTTAACTGTATCAAAATGTGCAGACATTAGTAATATGGAGGGAAAAAAGTTCTAAAAAGAAAGAATAAGTTGAGACAGCACAGCGTCAGCATCTTGTTATAAAATTCAGTCTGACAGTCATTACTCTAAAAAAAAAAAATTAAAGTCTATAAAGCAAAATATACTTGAAAGGCTACATTTCAATTATACTTTAAAATTTTCCATTCCTAGGAATATTTCAAAGATATGAGGTAGTTAGTAATTCCCATATAAATTATTTGAAATGTAAAAATTCTGAATAGGTTTAAAGTTGACAATGATAATACTATTCCAAGATGTCATCAGCCATAATGTACCCATTTATCAAATACCACAAAAGACATCACAAACAGTACAATTCTACTTCAACAAGTTGACTTGGTCACACTATGTTATGTAACCTATCATGCCATTGAGTTAGTTTTTGACTGCCTCAACATGTAATCCTTGATGCCCTCAAATTTTTATTAGTTTGACCTGTGATATTAGCTCTAATTCATGTTTTACATTTCAGTGCAACAGAAAGTCAACACAGTTTTGCATTATTTATACACTCAATATAATAAGTTGTTTCTTATCTCATGAGTATGAATATATCTTGTTTTGGATAGACTGAGCACGATATTTCTCTATCAATTAAT